GAGAGCAAGCGTCCCGTCAGTGGGCATAAATCAGCCGGGAGCTGGAAAACAGGGCGGGCTGCAAACAGAAGGGGAGTGTGGGCCCCTGCTTTCTGCCGCCGGATGGGTCAGGGACTTCCAGTTCATTTATTCTGCTGGGGTTTGCCCAGCCCTGCTCGGCATGTGTAATGTTTTCTCTGAAAGACCTAGCAGTTAGATGGGTGAAAAACATTCTCCTGTCTCAGGAGCTGGCAGAAATCCTAGTAAATCTGCAGAAGTATGTTTTTGTCGGTGCTGCTTATTCTGTTAGGGGAACTAGTATAAACTATTCCAGTAGAAAACCTTTTCCTGGAATAAAGTCTTGACTCTGTTCAGAGCATTGTCAGGACAGTTGTACGGGGAAACGGAGCTTTGCTGGTAAACATGCTGGGACCGAGGAGGCCTAACGGGGCAGACACAGAGCTTGTGCAGCCTCTGCCCCACGGACAAACCCCTCACAAGGCACCTGCTGCCCTTTGCTGCGCTCAAACAAAAATAAAATCTCTGCATGGTCAGTTTGGAAACAAAACAAGGGGTTTTTTTTCTCCCTCCTGAAACTCTGGCTGTCCCCGCTGGGATGTGCCACTGTCCATCCCCTCCAGGCTGCGGCTGGGCATCCCCTGGTGGGGTCGGTGTCAGCGCCATGAGCCACGCCATGGGGGCATGTCTCCATCCTGTATCACTTGGCAGCCGTGGGGTCAGCACACAGCTCGAGCAATTGCGTCTACTTGCCTGCCTCAGTTTCCCTGACCCCAGCTGGCACGAGGGGTGATGCTTTGAGCCCCCGGAGTGGTCCTGAGATAGCAGTGGGTGCCCGCTCCGCTTTGAATTTCTCATCCCCTGCAGTGTCCTTATCTCCCCGCTCCTCGCAGCCAGGACGGGGATGCCTGCTGGGGCTTTTGGCAGGAGAGCAGGGCCGCCGGCACGGGTTTGGGCCAGAGATCAGAGCTGTGACGCCCTGGGCGGGGTGCTCGCCCTGGGTGCTGGCGGGGGACGACTCTGTGCAGCCGGCACAGCCAAGCATGCTTCAAAGAGCGGCAGGTTTTTCTGGGCTCCAGCTGCTGCTTTGCTCTCCAGGCAGGCGTGAAAATGTGAAAGAATGTGAAAAATGTGAAAATGATCGTGCTGGCCCCAAGATTTGTAAACTTCTGGTTAATGTGTAATAAATATATGACGGATACTCCCAGCGCTGGGTGGGCAACCGTGGCCGCTCGGTGGTGGTATGGCCGGCGGTGGCATCCCTGAGCCGAGGAGGCATCTCCCCTCCCCTGCCCTGGGGCCAGCCCCAGGGTGTCCTGAGCAGCCCCGGTTGGAGAGGCTTTGGGGCTTTTCTAAACTGGTTTATCTGGTTTCGACTGATCCCTCCTCTTTCTGTGAACCACCTTGTCTGGCTTGCAGAAATGCACTTTATTTTATTTGTTTAATTCTTCCCCGGTACAAGGTGCATGCTGTGAAGCCTGGGTGCGCAGCGTCCAGTCCAAGCGATGCCGGCGCTCGCAGCCCAGCGCCGTGTGGCGGTGCCGGTGCCGGTTCTCCAGAGGCTTTGGTTCCTGGGTGTGATTCTGCCCAGGTAGCTCATCGGGCTGTAACCACCAGTGCAGTATTTCCTGCTTGGCACAAAGTGAAGTGCTGCAACCATGTTCCCACCATAGTCAGTCTGGGGCAATCTCTTATGAGTCACTTTTTTTTTTGCAAAAATAGCTAAAAGATGGTCCTTCAGCTCTGCATGGGTCCAGCTGTAGCAAAGCTATAGGGGAACAGAGATGCTGCTGAAGCACAGGGCCTGGCGTGGTGGTGAGCAGGGACCAGGGCTCGTCCCAGGGAGGCTCCCCGCGACCGCCCTGGCACCGCCACAGGACATGCGCAGCGTGCCGCGGGGGCAGAGCCGGCAGAGCCCGGACTCGCCCAGGAATTCGGGATGAAAAGGGTCAGAGAGGCGCCTCTGCTAAGGAGCTCGGAGGAGAGCACGCTGGAGTTGGTGCCAAGGGGCGGCCTCATGCTCTGCCGGGGTTTGGACCTGCTGTGGGCAAGGACGGTTCTGCAGGAGCCTGGCGAGGAGCCGCGCCGGTGTGTCCCACCTTCCACGGGCTATGTTCCACCTGTCCTTCAAATGGCCTCTGAGCATCAGAGATCAAGAAGTTTTGTCTGACGCCTTACTTTCCCCTGTAATTTAGAGAGAAGAGAGTGTCCTTTGAAAATGGTTTTGTTTTTGTTATCCGTGTCATCCTGGCGTCCCTCCCCAAAGTAAATGGAAAGGACAGAGGTTTGTGGGCAAATGTGGGTTCAGCTCCCTTGGGTTTTGCTCGTTTTTTCTGGGTGGCTGCAGGTGCTGATGGGGGGTCCCCAATGCACGTTGCGTGGTGTGGGGCCACCCCCCGGGGACGGGATGGGGTCTGGCATGGAGCTGCATGGAGGATGCTTGGAGAGGCTGGGGCTTGGCACGGAGACCATGCTTAGCCTGGCAAAGGGGCCCGGGAGCTGCTAGATGCCGGTGAAGGTGCCGGAGGGTAGGATTACGTGGTGTGGCTTCCTGGAAAGGGTGAGCAGCACCCTCCTTAGGCATGGCTCAGCTGAACTTCGTCGCTTTATTTTTCCCCCAAAACCAGTTCCAGTGCTGGGTGATACCCTGCTCCATCGCCCTGCGGAGAGCCCCAGCCAGAGGGCTGAGATGGGGCTGAGTTAACCCTGGGCCATGCCCGGGTTAATCCATGCTGTTCCTACGAAGCTGGTGGCTCGATTCTGTGCTTTCCTCGGTCCAGCTGGGCTCAGCCCCTGAGCGGGGGTGTTGGACCAAAGCAGGGCTGCTCCTTTCAAGCACCCATCCCCAAAGAAACCCCGAGGGCTTTCCAAAGAAATTGCAAGGGGAATTTTTTATGGGAAGATAAAGGCGACTTAGCCGCCATCAAACATGTCCAGATACCTAATCTCGATTCTTCTTGCTGTTTGGCCGTTCAGGGCATGAGGGACGAGCTGTGGGTTTGCAGTTAGGGTGCAGAACGGGAGCTGGGCTCATGTGCTTTGTTCGGGCAGGGCTGTGCAGCCTCTCCCACAGCTCAGCCCCCTCCCGCGGCTCAGCCCACCGACCCACCGCGTCCCGCCCCTGTTAATTAATGTACGGAAAGCTTCCAGGCCCTCGGATGAAAGTTTATAAATTGATGCTCTGGGCTATGAATTATGAATGGAGTCACATCCCTGATCACTGCAGTGCTACGCCAACAGTTCTGAAGCTGCTGATCTGAGCGACAGCCCAAAGCTTTTAAAGATGTGAACAGCTAAACCTGGGAATAATTTGCTTTGCCAGCTACAAACCTCTTGGCCTACAGATGGGGCTCATCGTATTCCCTCTCCTGCCTCCTCCTGTCACCTTCTCCTCTTTTGTTTTCCAGTATTGCCTTCTCTCCTTGCCCTCCCGGTTTGTCTTCATGGATCTTGTCCCACTTGGCTGTGTTGACCATCCCATGGGAGCTGAATCCTCCATGGCATGTTCCTCCCCCAAGGTTGCCGGTACCGACTGGGGACATCTGCCACAGCACCGGTCCCAGCTGGGTCACTCTGGCCCCCGTCCGTCCCCACCCGGGCGCAGGTCCCCACACCATCTCCACGGCTGGTGCCGAGCTCCTCACGCAGGGCTCAGCAGGGTTTTGGCAAATCTCTGCAGTTTCATTTCCCTTTGGCCATAACTTTGTGCTGAAGATGTTGTGTTTCACAGCTCCATCTCTGCCATTGGTCTTCGGGTGTTTGTCCTTGAACCTCTCCACCACTGGAGGCCAAATCCTGCCCTAAGCAGCTGCATGTGCTTAATCCTGTAAGCCCGGGTATTTCTTGGGTTTATTGCCTTCTGGGTTTGCCTGAATTCCTGCATTCTTACCTCCGGGAGCGGCTCCCTCCCGGTGCCTGATGGCCCGCAGCTGGGCTGCTGCCCGCACGGGCTGCGCTGCCTGCTCTGGCCCGCCGGCAGCAGTGGGGCAGCGTGGAAAGAACTAAATTTAAAAAATGAGCTTTAGAAACTTCTCAATTTTTACAAATGAAGGCAAGGCCCTGCACATTCCCCCCACCCCCCAAGTGCTGTGCACCCTGCAGCGCTTGGGACAGAGCAGCGCTGCTCCCCGGGGATGACAGTCAAGTGCTGTGCACCCTGCAGCGCTTGGGTCAGAGCAGCGCTGCTCCCCGGGGATGACAGCACAGCGGGAAACCGTCCTAGCCTGAGCGATGGATGCGGGAAAGGGGCGCTCGTTGTTTCCAGTCCTTTCCAGTCGAGCCATCGTGAGCCAGGCAGCAAAAAAATACAACTTCAAAGGCAAAGTCTCGGCGTCTGGTTAAGGCGTTCTGCCCCGGGCTGGGATGCAAGAGGGCTCCGGCAGGTCCTGATTGCGTCTTGTTTCTCTTCCACAGGGGATGCTGTAGCCGTGCAAGGTGAGGGACAGACCGAAAGTCGCCGGCGGAGCCGTGACGGTTATTAATCCGCCTGAAGCAAGGGAGGCCGGCGCTTCAGCGAGCCGGGGAGCATGGTCTGCAGGGAAAGAGCCATTTGTCAGACACAAACATCCCCCCGGCTGCGGTGAGGGGAGAGGAGCCGCTGCCGCAGATCGAGCACGCTTATTGAGGGAAAAATACCACTTTGGTTTGGTGTCTAATTAGATATTTACCAGGAAGGAAGAAAAGTTAAAAATAGGGTGACAGTTACTTCAAAGGGTGTTTTTGCCTTCTAAGAATAACACCTTTGCTGGCACTGATTTCAGAAATATCAGCTGTGCCTGGCTGTGAAAGATGGAGGTGTTGCAGCTCAGTTGGTAGCCAAGGGAGCAAACCTGGACCTCCCGGCCCCTGGCCCGGCCTCGTGGGAGCAGCTAAGGAGAGGACGTTTGCATCGCTGTGAGGGCCCGTGGAGAGCTCAGCTGCGCCCACAGGGACACATCGGAGGGAGTTTGGGGAAGACGAAGCCGCCGGTGCCCCGGTGTGGGTGGGAGGGGACGTGTGGCACCATGGGGACCCCCTCCCCGCGGGTGGTGCTGGTGCTCGCCGCAGCGCTGGCGGGGCTCTTGGCTCCCCGAGCAGCGTACGGGCAGCCCAACTTCATCGTCATCCTGGCGGATGATGTGGGCTGGGGGGATCTTGGGGCCAACTGGGCAGAGACGAAGGAGACCCCGCATTTGGATGAGTTGGCAGCCGAAGGGACGAGGTAATGTCTGTCCCCCCTCCCCGCCCCTCTCCAAGCATCCCTGGTTACTCTGTCCCGCAGCAAAGGGGGTTTCCCTCCCGTGGCAACCGGCAGGCGAAGGGGGTTTCACTGACATGATTTTGGGTGCACGGGGAGGGCAGCCAGAGCCTGGTACCTTGGGGTGCAGGTCCATCCATCCCCGCTGGGACCTGCGAGCTTCATCCCCCGCTCCAGACCCTCATCCCTGGGGCAGAAGGGGACACGTGCAAGGAAGCAGGGAGGGACGGGACGGCATTAGACCACGCAGAGGCTTGCGAGCGAAGGGTCCTTTCATTTTCTAGATTCGTGGATTTCCACTCGGCTGCGTCCACTTGCTCGCCGTCCCGCGCCTCTCTGCTCACGGGGCGTCTCGGCGCGCGCAACGGGGTGACCCACAACTTCGCCGTGACGTCGGTCGGTGGCCTCCCCCTGAATGAGACCACCCTGGCTGAGGTCCTGCGGGAGGCTGGGTACAGCACGGGGGCTATAGGTAATGTCCGCCGTGCCGAGGGGGCATCCAGGGCGGGGAGATGGCGGTGGGGGGGACGAAGATGCCTGTGTCTGTCCCTTGCGGAGGAGGTACCGCCGGTAGTTAGGTGAAACGCTGGCAATTAAAGGAAAGTCTAAAGGATCACGTGGGACGGATTTTGCACTTTCCCCTTGGATTTTGCAATCCCAAGCTTAAAACCTTCATTTTCAAGCATATGATATTGCCTGAAATTCAGGCCCTCCCCAGTTCTCCATTTAAGCTCTAATTGCTTCACCTCACAAGGAATGCGCAGGGTTTTCCTCAGCAAACATGACTGCGCACAGCAGTCCTGGATTGGTGCATTTGGTGGGAGCAAGGGCGTGCCGGAGGTCCGAGGATGAAGCTGGTTGTTTTGGAGGGGTTAGAAAGTCATCTCCTCTGAACATAAACACATGAAAGAGCCTTTTAAGGCTGGAGATGGTCAATTTGCACAGGCACGAGATACCCTATGCATTTTTTCTGAGTTTCTGCAAAAAAAAGGCATTCTGGAATTGTGGCCAGCACAAACAAGTAGCCTTTCTTGTTGCTAGATTAAAGTACCCAGCGCTGCGGGCACCTCGTGGGTGATGACTGGTGGTGACCATAGCTGCATTAACCTTTGAAATGATGTTCTGTGGCTTTCACACAGGCAAGTGGCACCTGGGACACCATGGCTACCATCACCCCAGCTTCCGCGGTAAGGGCTGCGCCAGCGGGGATGAGCTGAGCATCCTGTGGCCGCCTTGTCCCCGCCAACACCCTTGCTTGCCCCTCAGGCTTCGACTATTACTTCGGGATCCCCTACAGCCACGACATGGGCTGCACGGACACCCCTGGCTACAACCTGCCGCCCTGCCCTCCCTGCCCGCAGCACGGCGCGGCTGCCAGGTACGGGGGTGCGTGGGGGGTTCAAGTGCTGGCACTGGGAGGTTGGTGTTTGCACCAGCGTCCCCAGCCCCGAGAGCTGCCCTTTGCTGTGGTCCCCTTATGCTCTGTGCACCCATTTTTTCCCCTTGTGCACCCCACAGCAGGGCGCGGGTCAGGGAGGTGGGTTGGTCCCCGAGCACCCTGTCCCCTTTCTGCTCCTGTCCTCGGCTGTGCCTTTCTGCTAAGCCAGGAGAACAGCCAGGCTCCGTGCCTGCTGCCATGCCGGTCCCCGCTCTGGTGACGAGCGTGGGGTGGCTTCTGCCCAGCAGGATTGCGAGGAAGGACTGTTACACGGAGGTGGCCCTTCCTCTCTTCGAGAACATCACCATTGTCCAACAGCCCGTCAACCTCAGCAGCCTGGCAGCGCGCTACGCAGAGGAGGCAGCGCGGTTTATCCGGCGGGCGAGGTGAGATGCCACTCGCCGTCCCCCGTCCCCTTCTCCGGGAGACCTCGTGGGTCGCTGCAATTGTCTTCTGCTCGTGCTGCAGGGTGTCCCCGGGGCTGCTTCCCCTGGGCTGCAGAGCCCAAGGGGTTTCGTGGCTGCTCCCCACCACAGCTGGTTTTCCCTTGAGCTCTGCCATGTATGAGAGCAGGATCTGGCTGCTCGATCTGGGTCTGCAAGGCTCAGGACATGCCCATCCCGCAGCGGATGCTGCAGGGCAGATAAAGCCGAGCAGCTCTAGCTGGGAGCCCTGCACGTGCCCGGGGAGGTTGGCATTGGTGTGATGCTGGGGGGCACGGGTGTTGCCCTGCAGTTCTTGGGGAGCAGATCTGGGGTCTCCGTGGCTCAGCTTCCCAGCCCACTGGAGGAGGGAGAAGTCACCGAGGCTGTCACCGGTGTCCTGCAGTGCTCACCCTAGAAGCCTTTTGGTGCATCTCCTCTAAAGGGATTGTGTGTGTTTAAAACCACCATTTACAAGGAAGGTCAAAGCCTTTGAGCTGGGCTGTGCCTCCTTCCTGGGGGTAACGTGCAGCAGGATCCTGGCTAGCGGGGATGGGAGGGAGGGAGGGAAGGAAACACTGCCATCCCTCTGTCCTCCATCCCTCCGTCTTTGCAGTGGCATGGGGCGAGGTGGCAGCGGGGTGGCTCTGCCGGGCGGTGGAGGTGCCTCTGTGGGTGGGGGGTGCTGGCGGGGGCATGGGAGTGGGCACTGAATGGGTGCCCACAGCAGCTCCGGTGGCGGGACCAGAACAGCACCCAGAGGTGTTTAAACCCGCCCCGTATGTGGGGTTTAATTCATTTTGAGGATAAAGCGCTCCGGGACCCCTGGGCTTCAGGGTCTGCCTTCCCCAGCCGCCCAGGGACACAAGGAGCCCGGGTGTGCTCTTCCCCGAGAACCAAAGCGGCTCCTCCGAGACGATGACCCCAAAGCCCTGCTGATGAGTTGTGTAATTTTAATCCCTATTATCAGCGGATTATGAGCTGTGACTTTGCAAAACACCTCCCTGCAGCGCGAGGAGGAGAAGCGCTGCCGGGCAGCCATGTCAGAGTCCATCCCAGGCCTGCATCCAGGGATAACACAGACCCGGGGAAGGGCCACGGCGGGGGCGTCCTGCGGGCGTGCTTGGGGAAGGGTTTTGTAATGGGGGCAAACGAGGGGCTGGGCAGGGAGCAGCCTGTGGGGAAATGGCTCCCTATAAGCCTGGGTACCGTTTTGCTCGCACAATACCTATAGTTTATCCCCTTTGGGTACCAGGAATCAGCCGCAGCGTGGCCCAGCCGCATGGTCAGGATGCGTGCCTGTAACGGGGCTGGAGGGTACCCGGGCACCGGGCTGCAGGGCAGCAGTGGTCCCTCCTCCTGTGCAAACCCCCAGCCCTCGGGGCTGCGAGGATGCTGGTAGGCTGTGAAACCAAGTGCTTGAGCTCTGCGTTAATAGGAAAAACCTTTGGACTCCCAATAGTATTTTGGGGTTATCTGCGTTCATGGAGAACAGGGTTAAGCAGGTGCCTGCCTTTTTTCTCCTTCTCTTTGATGGCTTATTCCAGTTTTCCTCTGCCTGACTCATTCATTACGGGGCAACAAAAGAACACCGGATTTGTCATCTTGGTGTTTTTTTAACCAGCCGTGTCAAGGTTGAGCAATTTGTGGCAGTGAGACTTGGCTCTGCCTGGGACACTTAGAGCGCAGTGAACATGGGAACAAAAGTCAGGGACGTTTGTCTTAAGTTATTGATTAAATGTTTGCTCAATTTTCGGGAGAATTCTGAAATGTCCATGCGAGAAGCAAGCGGGATGTTCAGCTGAACGCCGTGGTCATGAGTCCGTCTGGATGCTGGAGTCTACCTGGTGCTCCCGGGTGGGATGCGAGCCAGGGGAAGCAGCTTTCCCCACTCCAGGGTCTCTGGCATCCCAAGGGGAAAGGTGCCGCATAGCCTTTTGCAGCGGTGATTTGCAAGGGATGCATCAGCACCCGCTGATGCCCAGTGTTTTGCAGGGGCTGGGCAGGGTGCCGGGGGGATGCAGCCCTTCGCAGGGCTCCAGTGCTGCTGGGGAAGGATGCGGCAGCTCTGGGCGGGATGGGATTTACTCATTTTCCATCCCCAGGTGGGTGACGGGTAAAGGAAGGAAGTGCTGAAACGCACGTCGGAGGGGCCCAGAAAGCTTTCTGGAGGCAGCGATGGGGCAGCCAGAGCCAGGCGCGTGTGCAGGCTGGGGCACGTCCCCGGGATCCGGCCCCTCCCCACTGCTCACCATCCCACCCTTCCCCTCCGAGGTCCCTGAGGAAGAGCGTGCCTCGTTGGAGGACATAAATATAGCCGTAAACAAGAAAACAGGACATGTCCTCTGATGATTTAAAAGCAAACAGGCAGCGGGGCAGCGCACAGTGAGCGAATGTGCCGTGCTCCCTGTCCGGGGCTGCTCGGCAGTGCTGAGGCCGCGCTCGGGGTTGGTGTAGGTGTCCTTTTGCTGCTCATCCTCTGCTAAAATCACCGGCGGGGGCCGAGCGCTTGCTGGGGAGGGGGAGGAAGGGCCAAAATGGGCCCCGTGAGAGAGGGGAGGGAGGTGGGTGGGTGCCGGGGGTGCACTGACGCGGGGCGTTTGGCTGGCAGCTGGCATGCCACCAGAGATGGAGGAAGGGGCGAGCCCGTCCCAAATTGGAGGACAGTTGACAACAGGGGGACAACGGGGAGAGGTTTAAACAGGAGCAGGGGAGAAGTGGCTCACGCTGGGCCAAGCATCCCCCCTGCAAGGGCAGCGGGTGCCCAGAGGGTTTGCAGCCGGCCGACGCACGCAGGGCGGTTTTTCCCCCGGGAGCTGCGGCAGAGGCAGGGGTGGCTTCAGGGCTCCTGGGAGGAAGGGCCACCGGTCTGTGTCCCCAGGCTCAGCAGTGCCACCACCCCGGTGACCTCCTGCCACAGCTTTCCCCTTCCCTGACCCGGCTGAACGCGCTCCCCCTCTTCCCTGCGCAGCGACAGCGGACGCCCCTTCTTCCTCTACCTGGCGCTGGCCCATATGCACGTCCCGCTGGGGGTCCCCTCACCGCCCCCCGCCTCAGGCAGGGGCATCTACGGAGCTGCCCTGAGCGAGATGGATGCCCTGGTGGGATGGATAAAGCGGGTCGCCGACAGCCACGGAAAGGGCAACACGCTCCTGTGGTTCGCAGGTACAGCAGGAAAACCGGCTGCGGTGGGCTGGGGGCAATGCCAGCGGCTGCACCGGCACCAGCCCAGGGTGTGCGTGGGTGGTGGGGGGCAGGACCTGTGTGTTTGTCCCCTGCCCTCGATGCTCCTGGCTGCTCTGCGGATGGGGAGCGATCAGCAGCCATGGCTGAGCTGCCCGGGGCCGTCACATCGTGGGGATGGGGGTCCCGGACTGCTGTGGCCGCTCAGCCGGGTGCCCACCCTGCCACCCCCCTTCGGCCGCGGGCCTGAACCGGCAGAGCCATGCCTAATTAAACCACAAATCCTCATTCATTAAGAAGCCCAAATCCTCTCTCGCTGAGCAGCCTCCCTAATGAGGATGTCTTGCTCCTGATGACAGGAACCTCTCCACTGCTCATTAACGCCCAAAGCTGGTGGCAGCCATCCCCGCACCGTGCCCCAGCTCCGCTCCAGCCCCTCACCCGGGACTCGGGCAGCCCCAGCACTTGAAAATAAACTTTTAGAAATAAAAATAAATAAACCCGCTGCTCTTGCTAATGTGGGAAAGCATCACAGGGATGGGAAGGAGGGATGGAGGGGTCACTTGTCCTTGTTCGCCCCCCGTTGCAGAGGTGCCCCCTGGTCCTGGTGTTGCTCATGGCGACGTTTCTTTCTCTTGCAGGTGACAACGGCCCCTGGGCGCAGAAGTGCGAGCTGGCGGGACGCCTGGGGCCGTTCGTGGGGGCCTGGCAGAGGCAGCGAGGTAACCCGGCAGCGTGGGGGGGGTCTCCCGGGGGGGGCCG